TGGAATCCTTTTTAACTGATTATTAATGTTTGAAATGATTACATTGTTGGCTGAGCTTTGTATTACATCAGTATTTTTTTTATACATGCTGCTTATTCTTTAAAATGGGGCTGCAACAGTGACCTCCTTTGAAAACTCATTTTGATGCACAGTTTCACAATTAAATCTGAAAAGAAAATGTAACTAATATATAGGCCTATCAGGGAGCAGATTTGTGCACAACTGCTATTTCTCTACCTCAGAAACAGAAATGTCTTTAAAATCCAGAGTGGTGCAAGTAGAAGAGAGGAGTGGAGACAGGAGTTAGGGGCCTGAGAGATTAGTTAACAGAAATCTATACTGTTCTTTTTTCAAATATGCTTTAAAAACAATGATGTATTAATTGTCATGACAAAATATTTGAATCAGTCATTTAAAGCTCTTTAACTTCTCTGCATCTTTCCACTCACGCCTCACTCCACCCCCTCCCATACCACGCCTGGGTTGTTCCCATGGACCTCTCTCTCCTCCCCTTGTGCCCAGTCCCTCTTTTACAAAGAGGACAAAGGTTGGTCAGTGAGACTAGAGGCATGGCATGCATGAAGCTGTGAGGGATGCTCAGCAAAGAGAAGATAGCTCTTGGCCATACCTCCTCCTCATTCGTCTCGAATGTGAAGGTTTGCCTGCCCTGTCAGGTAATTGAATTTCCAGTCCCTTAATTAGATGTTTGGCAAGTAAAACCAAGTGTCATGACACACTTGAACATTTCAAAGAGCTAGTAGAATAGTGGGTAAATGCATTAACAGTGCTAATGAAATGAATAAATTCAAGGTGACTTGCATATGCAGTTTGTATTAATTTATAATAAATGCTATTGCGTCCGTACAGAATAGAAGTTCACTCAACATATCTGTCTCTTAATTACATGGGTGCAACTTGATCATATATTCTTGAAACTGATGTTGAGATATAGGCCCCTGTTGAGTTTATGTCTATGGTCTTAAGAGGACATGGCAGAGCAGAGAGGATTTCTGGAAGATCTTGGGAATAAAATGTAGGTAGGGTCAGCAGCATGGCTAGAATAGTAAGAGAACAAAACCAGAATTTCACATATACTTCTCCAGGTAGCAGTGTGTTTTTCTCTGAATGTGTCAATGTAGACCAGGTTCTGTATTAGGGGAAAACATGCCTGGAAGGATTTAAGTAATTCAAGGGGGATCTAACTAGTCTGGTTTGTCTTAACCCATTTTGATGGTATTATAGGAGGGCCTTTACAATGATTGCTGATAGGACCATAATTTGACTTCTTGGACCCTAAGAAAAAACCCTGGGTTCTAAAAGGGAAAATAATATAGCAGTTGATAAGTGGATTATATAATTTATTTTAAAACTGAGACAGGAGTGAAGGAGGGGATTATTAATAACTAAGCCAGAAAAATAAACATATACTAGAATGGTCATGGACAAACCAGGATATCTGCTCACCCTAATTTGGGTGGTCTCATCAGTTTGCAGGGTTTGGTCTCTTCCAAAGAAGGTTAGAACTTTGACCTGAAGCAGGCTTGGCTTCAGGAAAACTTCCCCACAGCCACTGAGAATAGAGAGCAGTGCACAGCACCCAGAGGCATAGTTTTATTAACAGACCCAGCTTATTACTTGTTACTATCCAAGATGTTGTGGCTGAAGTGTCTTTAAGAACTGTGAACATCATAGAGACAAGCTCGATACTGAAATCCATTTTATTTGAAATCCTCTTAATGCCTTTTAAGCATAAGCATTATGGCAGAAAAAGTAGTTAAGAACCAGATAATAAATTCAATTGATTTGGTTCAACTTCCTTCCATGTACTCCTACAAAATATTAACACCCTTGATAATCATGCCTTAAAGATATAGCTCTCAAGAGGATTAGATGATAGAGAACAGAAAGAAATGCAAAATAATGACTCAAGCTTAGCAAGCAAAGATTGTGTCATAGATGCGTAAGAGTGTATCATTTTGGAAGTTAAAGGGGACAGAGTTCTGATGACAGTGAGTTTCAGAATAAGGGAAAGGATTTCTTACATAGAACAAAGTGTAGGAAAATTAAAATTAAGATTCCTTCACTATCAGAAAAAAAGTAGTAATGGGTTTATGATGGCAATTATATATTGCTTTCATATATTAGGAGAGGCCATATAATTACCACAATCACCAATGTTTATTCGGTGAACCCCTCCTCTAAATGAGATACTGTAGGTATTAAAATACTGTTTTAATTGCCAGAGATAAAATGATGTGGTATGATATGGTGGAAAGAACATAGATTTGGGAATAGGTAAAACTTGAATTTTATTCCTGGTTTCATTGGTACCTTGGTTGTACCTTTTTGGGACAAGTCACTCAGCCAACCCTAGCCTCAGTTTCTTAACCTGTAAAGTAGGGATAATTATATCCACCTTGTAGTAGATCATAAGAACTAGAAAAAAAGATACACACAGTGCTTGGCACAGAGAAACCCTTGGACAAATGGCAGCTATTAAAGGGATTTTTAAAGCAGTCCTGGCCTTGAGGGTTTCACAGTGTAAGTAGGGAGAATCAGCAAAGTCAGGAGCTCAGAAGATAGATATCAGTGAGTCTCAATTTGTCCAAAAGACTTTTTTGAAGGAGGCCAGACTTGGGCTGAGTCTCAGAGAAAGTCTGAAATATAAATGGGAAGAAAGTAAGACAGGAAGAATGAAAGTAGCAGAAACAAAAAAGTGAGTGGTGTGTTTTCAAAGGGTTTCTGTAAGCAAATAGTGTGATAGTTTGGGACTGCATTGTGAGGGACTCTAATGACATCATCCTAAGTCACTCAGTTTCACATCAGTGGGGAAACTGCTGAAGGCATTTGAACTGAGAGATGGGAGTGATATTTATAGCATAAAATTAGGATTTTAGAGCTGGAAAGGATGTTAGGAGTCACTTAATCCAAGCACTTCCTATTATAGAGAATTAAATTAACTTCAGAAGTGGAAGAGGTGGGTTGATAGATTAGAAGTGGCAGGCATGGACACTAGCTAAGGGAACACCACAAAGTCTAGTATGAAGGGGTGAGGGCTGGACTCAGAGTCAGGGTGAGAACCAGCAGTCAAGGGCAATGTCAAGACTGTCACTCCCAGTGGCAGCAAGGAGGCCATCGCCAGCACAGTAGTAGACTGCTGTGGGAGGACACGTTAGTGGGAGGAGTTTTGTTTTAGACGTTCACCTGGAGGCACTGTCTGGGAGGAAATTGGAGGCCTCTGAGAGGGCAGGAAGGCCATTCACATTCTCTGGTGAGGGCTCCTCCTCTCTCCAGGAAGAGCTTCCATTTCTTTTATTGAGACTGCCTCTTTGTAAGTGACTAACCATGGGGCAGATGGTTAGACCAGCTGAATCAGTGCTGCTGACCTGGAGGAGAGGGGTGGCAGGCAGCTCACACATCCAAAGACAATTAAAGATGAGAGTCAGATGTAGAAGGAGAGCTGCAGACTGGGGAATCATCTACAAAGAAGAGATGATAGAAGCTGAGGGAATGGATGAGAGCTCTGCAGAAATGAACAAAAGCCAAGAATAGACCTTGGAGTACCTGTACATTTAGGAGATAGGAAAAGAAAACAATGCCAATAAATAAAACAGAGAAAGAAACCAGGGATTTGTAGTGGATCCTTTCTGCCCTTTGGTTCACCTCTTCTAGCTATAGTCAGCATTTAGGAACCCATAAAATGATGTGGTCATGAGGATTAAGGGCTGACTCAGTGGGAAAGCGAGGGAATAAAGAGTCTAGATTGCTAGAGGATGTCACGCTAACATAGCTAACACTGAGTGCATATTCAGGGGAGAGGAAGGGAAGCCAGGAGGTGATCAATAGACTGGGAAAATAAATAGGACTGCATAGACTGTAGTATGGGATGAAGTGAGGACAGGGCGGAGGTGAAAAAAGGGAGGTTGCACTCACACACAGGGAGTGCTGAGTAGATCAACTCTTGGGAACTGACCTGGCCCTGATGCCAAAGAAGGGCAGAAATAATCCTGGAGTAAGTTATTGGGCTGCTAGCTGTCCCTTTTCACTGCTAAGCTAGAACTCTCCTTAAAGTACAAAGGCCAAATTAGTACCACACTATTGGGTTGAAATGATCCCAGCAGTGGAGGTTGGGATAATATAAGCTCTTTGAAGTTGTATAGCTCATCTATCAGTACTTTATTTTAGTAAATTTTAATCCCATTTAGTTCTTCCCTGCCACCCAATCCTCCAGCCTGGTCCCCCCACCTCCTGCAGTTAATGTGACTTCAGAGAATGCAAACCTCATTTAGCATCAATTAAAAAAACTTCTACAATATATATGTTATCCTAGAGGCAAACATAAATAATGTGGTAATGTGAGGATTATGCATTAAGCTGAATTATATACTGTACTGCCCTGCTTGCTTGGTGAGGTACCTAAGGGGTGGTATGAGGTGCTACCATCAACTTTAATAACCTGCTAAATTTCTTCCTTCTGTTGGAATCCTTTTTAACTGATTATTAATGTTTGAAATGATTACATTGTTGGCTGAGCTTTGTATTACATCAGTATTTTTTTTATACATGCTGCTTATTCTTTAAAATGGGGCTGCAACAGTGACCTCCTTTGAAAACTCATTTTGATGCACAGTTTCACAATTAAATCTGAAAAGAAAATGTAACTAATATATAGGCCTATCAGGGAGCAGATTTGTGCACAACTGCTATTTCTCTACCTCAGAAACAGAAATGTCTTTAAAATCCAGAGTGGTGCAAGTAGAAGAGAGGAGTGGAGACAGGAGTTAGGGGCCTGAGAGATTAGTTAACAGAAATCTATACTGTTCTTTTTTCAAATATGCTTTAAAAACAATGATGTATTAATTGTCATGACAAAATGTTTGAATCAGTCATTTAAAGCTCTTTAACTTCTCTGCATCTTTCCACTCACGCCTCACTCCACCCCCTCCCATACCACGCCTGGGTTGTTCCCATGGACCTCTCTCTCCTCCCCTTGTGCCCAGTCCCTCTTTCATGCCACTTCCTTGCAGAAGACACACCAGAGCGCCCTGCAGGTACAACAGAAAGCTGAGGCACTGCTCCAGGCCGGCCACTATGATGCTGACGCCATCCGGGAATGTGCTGAGAAGGTGGCCCTCCACTGGCAGCAGCTCATGCTGAAGATGGAAGACCGGCTAAAGCTGGTCAATGCCTCTGTGGCCTTTTATAAGACTTCTGAACAGGTGAGGGAAGGGCTGTGGGATCTTGGGAGCTGAGGCTGATGGAGGATTATTTCTGTCTCTCACTGTAAATCTGCATTACCTACCTTAGCAAGAAGCTAGTCCTTTTAGTAATCATTTGGTTCTTCCCTGCCACCCAGTCCTCCAGCCTGGTCCCCTCACCTTCCTTACAAGCTTCCTTATAAGCACAGTGACTTCCTTATAATCCTTTCCACTAGAGAAATGAACCATATGATTTTTTTCTTATAAATTCTTCAAACTCATCAGATTTGGTGTTGAAGTAGAAATTGGGTATATACTAAATACCAGATTTGAATGGTGTATCAATCAGCTATTGCCACAGTAATGCTGTTTAACAAACTACCCCAAAACTCAGTGGTATAACACAGTAAGTGTGTATTTTTTAACTAAGTATTTGAAGGTCAGGTGGTCTTCACTGTGCTTGGTAGAACTGGGATCCAGGCTGCAAGTTGGGTCTAGATCTGCTCCCATGCCTCTCATCTTCCTTGACCAGCAGCTGCTTGAGGCACATTTATAGTGAAAGGCACAAAGGAGTACAAGAGTCCAAAATCTACAATGCAAGTGCATTCCAAGTCTCTGCTTGTATCACATGCTCTAACAATCTTTCGGCCAAAACAAGCCATGTGGCCAAGCCAACATCAGTGAGGCAGGAGAGTACATGCCTCCTGTGAAGGCTGAGAGAGGAGAGTGGCAATTTGCTGAACATAATATGGTCTACCACAGTCAGATACTATGCACTGTTTGAAAAACACAGCTCTTTCACTCTTGGGGCTCCCAGTCTAATGGAGGAAACACAGCTCTCTGTCCCAGTGGAACTATGAGACTAACTGGTAGGATGGTGCAGTGGGGAGAAAAGGCGGGATCATAAAGATGCAGGTTCTTTACTACCACATCTGTACAGCAATATGTGCAAGGGCTAAAGTGCTGTTAGGGGATTCTTTTCACAAAATAAGAGGTTTCAAAAAGGAGTAATTTTATTCAATGTAAAATACTTTCCTCCCCTGGTAGGGGGATGGATTAGAATCATCCCCTGGTAGAAATAGGTCATAGAAATATTCTCCTCTGGGTGATTTACAGTGACCATGGGAAAGCCTATCTTGAAGCAAATGTAACGTGCCTGTCAGAGGGCCCTGCAGCCAGCGTTCCAGTTTCCATACGTTCTCTCAGTCCTTTTTGTTGTTTCAGAAAAATGATGCCTTTGATGGCCACAGAAGTGGAGCAGCCGGCTAAGATGAAAAGGAGCTTCCCCAATTGATCTAAACATTCAACACAATCCCAATAAAACCCCAGAAAGCTTTTTTGTAGAGATTAATATGCTGATTCTAAGATTTATATGGAATTGCAAAGAACCTAGAATAGCCAAAACAATCTTGAAAAGGAAGGAAAAAGTTCAAGTTACACTACTTGATTTTAAGACTTACTCTAAAACTACAATGACAAATAGACTGGGGTATTCATGTAAGAATAGACAATGGAACAGAATAGAAGTTTTAAAAGCAGACCCACATATATGCAGTCAGTTGATTTTTGACAAAGCAATTCAAAAGCAAAGTCTTTTCAACAAATGGTGTTGGACAACTGAATACAGGTTTTCCCCACTATCTGAAAGTAGTGTGTTCTTGTAAAATCTTTCATAAGCCAAAATGGCATAAAGCAAAGAAACCGTTACTATTGACTTACATGGAAACATTTTGAGCATCTCCAGACCCAAAAAATAATCTCTCTTAGGCTTTTTGAATACCTCAGGACACATCTTGTTAACAGATGCACAAAATAAATCAAGATAAAGCACAGATGCTCCCAGACACAGTTCAAAACTATGGGGCTTGATGCTGGGATGCTGAGTGTGGTTCCCAGGGAAGGATCTTGGCCACTCTTACAACTTGGGTGCACACTGCCTGGGTGACAGCTCATTGCAAAACAAACACTGGATGCTCTTTTCACATTTCATCTTTTTTCATAAAAGAAAAAAATCCTCTTCAGATTTCTTCTGGTTAGTGAAGACAGGTACTAATTTAGGTCTTTTATAAAAACGAAGTGGCCTAACACAAACTTTTGAAAAGTGGGAGAATACCTGTATCCATGTGAAAAAAAAATGAGGCTTAATCCCTGTATAACATTGTACACAAATTTTAATTTGAGATGGATCAAGATGCTAAAGGCAACAAAGCTCTAGAGTAAAGAGTGAGGAAATTTGACCCTGTATGACCTTGCCAAAGGTCATTTTACCTCTCTCGATTTCTGTTTTGTCACCTGGTAAATCAAGAGATGTTTGTTTGATAATCTTTTCATTTCTTCTAATTCCAATGTCGATTGATATTAAGTCCAATACTATCATGGGACGGGACTTAAGTACTCTTTTTCTTAAAGTTTTTGCATGCCTATAATCTGTTTTCGCTCAAGATGTGAGCCTTCCTGCTTATTTTCATGCCCTGCGTAAAGAGAGGCATGTGATGCCAAAGGAGTCAGCTAGAGTTCAGGGCCAGGCCTCCTCACGACACAGAAGTACACTGACTAGGAAGCACACATCCTAGGACATCTTTCAGCTCATCTCTCGGCTCTGTTCATAACTCAGTAAAAGTCCTTTCTGATGCCACACCCTTCACTAAAACATGATGACTTTCTCAGAGAGTGGAGACCAAGGATAGTTATAGTTACTCTTCCTTGATGCCGTAGCCAAATAAGTAATCAAAGTTACTGAAGGAAAGCATAGGACTGCAAGTTTCTGTGATCTGCACCTTTCCCTAGGCTCTGACACTCAGCTTCCCTGGGTCTCCTGCTATTCCACCACCCAACCTAGCCTTCCCTCCAAGCTCCATTCAGAAAGCTTTTGCTCTCTTGTGAGTTCATTTATAAAGTCACTTAGACCATGGCCTCTCGGCATTTTTAGAAATGAAAAGCTTCTCAACTCTCTTTTACATTAACCCAAATTTGTTATTACCTCTGGAGGAAATGTACATTTTGCCCTAGAAGGCCTGGAGATGTCATTGCCTTACTGTAGAACCTTGAGAAATTTTTGCTGGGATATTTTTCCCCAGAGAGGGGAAAGATAACATTCATTTATAGCAAATACATCACATAACATAGACAACTTCCTCCTTTACCTCTGCTTGAGGCTATATCCTGCACGGCAATGACAGATGGTGGGGCAACTTCAGTATCTTCTCCAAATCTCATCTTGTTCTACCTAATTCACATTGTTATAAGATTATAGCAATATAATATATAAAAAATACTTTGAAACCCCAAAAATTACTAGTTTCTCTTCCTTTCTTACTTTACTTACTATCCTGGGGTGATGTCATTACCCCTCAGGCTTCAGCCTGCAGCCAAGGACTGCAGAAGGTGATTCCAGAATCCATATCTCAGTCCTAATCCGTCTCCAGAACTCCAGACACTGGATTCTCACTGCCTCCTGGGCCTCTCTCAGGTGTCCAGGGACACTGCCAACTCAAAATCTACAGACTGAACTTCCAGCAAGAAATGTCACCTGGGTAGGGTTCTGTCAGCTTAAGGTCTGTCAGAATCCCTGCTGACTAATTTACTGAGTCTTTTCTTCCATTATTTCTTAGGTCTGTAGTGTCCTGGAGAGCTTAGAGCAAGAATACCGGAGAGATGAGGACTGGTGCGGTGGACGAGATAAGCTGGGACCAGCCGCAGAAATCGACCATGTTATTCCACTCATCAGTAAACATTTGGAACAGAAGGAGGCCTTTCTTAAGGTCAGAGCACATTGGCATCCAAGGTCTGGGATGTGAGCCTCTCTTGCTCTTTCATCTACTGTCTCTCTGTCTGGGATGTGAGCCTCTCTTGCTCTTTCATCTACTGTCTCTCTGGCTCTCTCTCTCTCTCTTACACACACNTACACGTATGGACTTCCCATCCTGCTTTTTTCTAGCCTCTGATCTAAAGGGAGGCATTTGTAGAGGAGATACTGACTGGTTAATCTGAAAGGTTGAAAGCTTACACTTCAAACATTATTTATTCTTTCAGCACTTTTGGTATAATTAGATAATTAATATATACCATTATCTACTGGTGCCATCTTTCCTGATATCCCATAGATGTTTTAATTAAGAAAAATTCATACTTTCACTCAGTTGTGTTGATTAATAAAGATATTTTTAATATAAATATATAATCCTAGACATAAAGTGATATTAAAATAAATATCTTATAAATGGATGATGCAAAATTTAGGGCAAATATATTAAAAAAATCAGTTTAGACACCTTATTTATTCATCAATCTAACAATTGTCAATTATCAGCAAATGTAACACTGTTTATTCTGCTGTAGGAAGAGAGAAACACCTTGTTTTGTTTGTTTTGTTTTCAGTAGAGCCTAGCTTCCCCTGGAGGGAGGACAGTCCCGCACTGACCAGGCTCTCAGCTGGCGCGGAAAGCCCTAGTAGGACTCCTCTGGCCAGGCTTTGACCTCTGACAGGGTCATCTGTGTTAAACCTTATCTGAAGGCTCTGTTTACTCTCAAATTTCTTGTTTTCATGTTCTGCTTCCTACCAGGTTTCTGAAGAAACAAAAGAGAATTTTTATACCATGGTGTGTTGCCACAGGTTTTCCCCAATTCTTTAATTAACTGCGTTTAATTTATTAGGGATTTTCTCTACTTGACCATCTCTCTGAGTTTTAGTTTTTTTGTTTTTTTTTTAAGATGGTCTCTCCCTGCCCTCCTCCCATGTATCTGGTATCTGCACTTGCATTTGATCAGAAGAACCCTTAGTAATCAGCTCTTCCAAATAAGATTAGTCTTCTCTACAGAGTGTAAGATAATTTTAAAAGTCTTCTCTATTATAAACAAAACAGTTTAAGTAGAGCATATCAAAGATTTTACATAGAGGCATAAAAATATTTCTTTGTAAAATTGTGGGGTTTTTTAAGAAGCTAAAAAGAAAATGTTCTGGGCGGATGTTTTCCACATGTGCCTAAAACCATAGGTGAGTTATTCGTATTGTGGGAATTATGCACCCAATGGATGGAAAAGTCAAGCTCCCCATTTGTATGCATTAATGGATCTATTTTGGATTCCTTAGCTTTAAGCTGTTAAGTTCACAGGCCTGAGAGTGGATGGATCCACTGTCAGTCTTTCACCAGAGCTCCCAGAGCCAATGTAGAATCACATGCTAAGTGAAAAAAGTTTTAAAATTTGACAGTTTTGTCCAGAGGTAATACTCAGAAGTGGATTAAAAATAATTAGTGGACTAGCATGTATAGTATTTCCCTCTATCTACAGGGACTACATTCCAAGACTCTAGTAGATTCCTGAAACCTAAGATAGTACTAAGCCCTATATATATATATATATACCATTTTTTTCCCATACATACATACTTATGATAAAGCTTAATTTATAAATAAGGTACAGTAAAATATTATGACAATAACTCATAATAAAATAGGACAGTTATAACAATATGCTACAGTAAGTTATGTGAATGTAGTTTCTCTCTTTCCCTCTCAAAATATCTTCCTGTACTGTGCTCACCTTTCTTTTTTGGGGGATGATATGAGATGATAAAATGCCTACATGATGAGATGAAGTGAGGTGAATGATGTAGGCACTGTGACATAGTGTTAGGCTACTGTAGACCTTCTGATGATATGTCAGGAGCATCATCTACTTCCAAACCGCAGTTGACCTTGGGTAACTAAAACCATGGAAAGCAAAACAACAGATAAGCAGGGGACTACTATGTCACTTCTACAATCAGAAAAAAACCTGCATTTTAAATTCAGAAATATCTATGATCTTGAGAGAAACTAGAGAAAGTGTCAGTAGACCTAGATTATAGCTCTGAGGTGCTCATGACTCCCACCCTTCTGGACTTTAGTCTTCTCCATGGGTGTAAGGATAATGACCTGTCCTCTTGGCCACCCACAGCTAATGTGATTCTTCAAAGGGGCAGTGTAATGCTCTTATTTCCTTTGTATAGATCAATATTCCCCAGCAATAGGATATTTATTAGTGTTATTGAGGTGGGGATGGATTTGATGGACAAGGTAGTTTTTTAAATGTGGGCAATTTCCATTTAGATTTGGCATGTATCATTAATAGACTTTTTTGCCAAATTTGCTTTCTCAAGTCCAAATTAAGCTAATGTTAAAGCAACTTAACCCAGTGGTCATATGAGAGGTATTCTGGTGGCGGGGGAAAACCAGCCTGAGCATGAATGTCAGTAATACTGAATCAACATAGAGGTAGTGAAGTGATGGCTGATTTCTGATTTTTATCTGGGATGGAAAGGGGAGAGGCACAGAGAGTAGTTCCCTACTCAACAAAAGGGTGAGCCTCCTGCACTGGAACTCCAGTGCCCATGAACCAAACGTAGCCTCCAGGGCTTGTTCGCCCCCAGCTCCAGAAACTCTGTCAGCTTCTCTGGCATCTTGGAAGCCATGCCCCCGCTGGGGGTCTCACTCCTCTGTCTCTCCCAGGCCTGCACCCTGGCACGACGGAACGCGGAGGTGTTTCTCAAGTACATCCACAGGAACAATGTCAGCATGCCCAGTGCTGCCAGCCACACCCGGGGACCCGAGCAGCAAGTGAAAGGTGAGCCTGAGGGCAGCTGGCCACCAGCCACTTCACGTGCCAGAGTCTGCAGGCCTTGTCCTCATGCGGCCTCAAATTTCCTGGTCATTCTGCTTGGGCAGGAAAAAGCAGGATGTGGGATGGTGTGAGCAGTGATGATCTGTAGGAAATTTTATAACATGCATCAAGATTTGGGATGGAAAAGTGAGGATAAAACTTCCCCAGAGCTCTTTCATTTACCTTAGTCTAGAGCAGTGCTGTCCAATAGGATTTTCTGAAGGAACAAAAATGGTCTATATCTATGCTATGCAATGTAGTAGCCACTGGTCACATGTCGCTACTGAGCGCTTGAAATGTGGCTAGTGCATCTGAGGGACTAAATTTTTACTTCTATTTCATATCAGTCAGTTGAACTATAAATAGTCAAATGTGGCTCACATTGAACAGCACAAGATTAGTGTATCTTACAGCCTGGGAACAGGACATGGACTGAGAATTGTAAAACCAGTTCTAATCCTGGCTTGAATATTTATTGCTTAAATTCTCTTATTTTAAATGGAATGTGTTGAGACTCTTGCTACTCAAAATATGGTCCCCAGATCAGCAGCACTGACATCAGTTGGAGCTTATAAGAAAACACAGACTCTCACCTAAACCCACTGAGTCAGAACCTGCATTTTGGCAAGAGTGCCCCCCATGCCACCCCAACCAGGTGATTTGTGTGCATGGAGAATTTAGATAGGTACTGGCCTAGATAATCATTAGTATCTCTCTGATTTCTATGAAGTCTATAATTGCATGAAAAAAAAATCAGTAACCTTTCAAAATTGCTTATTACCTGAAAACATTAAGCTTCAATTATACAGGTGGAATTGCTTCCTCTGGACCATGTAGAAATTAGCCTTTGAGTGGGTGAATAATTGAACAAATGTCATCTTGACACAGACAAGAAATACAGCCTTATAGACCAAGGGTAGGGAGGGATCTGATCCTGAGCCGGAATGAGTGGTGGGGATGGGCTTGGAGAGCTGCAGAGCGGACAGTGGGAGGTACGTGCTGATCTGCTTCTGGAAGGACCTCCCTCCCTGCTCGGCTCCAGAGTGGGGGAGATCAGACACCACTGGGAAGAATTAAACTTAGGAATCAAAGTCCCCTACAGAGAAGAGGGAAGCAGGCTTCCTTTTCCAGATGTGCCACCCTGTTTGTGGTCGAGGGACCCTGCAGGTGGCTGGCGTTATGTCACATTTCATTTCCTGCACATTTCAAAGCATATGTTCTGACTTTTTCAAATTCAGGTGGCAGCCTGGGTGAAGCCAGCTGCCTGCTGAGAGAGCGCACACGCCACCTACACCTCAGGGCTAAGAGTGGCAGGCACCCAGAGTGAGCAGGTTGTGCTACATCTTCTTGGGGCCACGTTGTTGCAAGCTTTCAAGAAGTGGGGAAAAGGAAACTTGAATCTCTTGAGGACTTTTGCCTGATGTGGGTTGATTCTCGCAGCTACCACAGAGGGAGCTGCAATGAACAGAGCTCTGATTACGAGACAGGCTGAACAGGTGCTGGTTCTCACTTCATGTCAGCCCAGCTGAAGCTTCCACCTGAGCGGGTGGAAGAAGATTGTAGGTAGACTCCACCTACAATCTCTCCTATATGAGATTCTTGACCCAAAGCCAGCACTACTTTAAGTTTTTGTTACAGGAACAATTTTTACTGCATAACAACCAAAACATTCACTGGTATACAGCTGTTCAAGTGACTGGGTGTTTGGCTGGGCATCAGCTGCGTCGGCTGGGCTCCGCAGTGCAGTTCTGCTTCGGGCCGCAAGTCTGGCTGGCTTGGCTCCTTCACTGCAGGGTGGGTTCTTGTCCTCTCTACCGGTGCAAAGGCTGGGGCCTCTGTTGAAGGGGGAGCAGTTACCCAGGAGAACTTCCTATAGTAATGATGCAGAGGTACATGGGGCAAGGTCAAGTGCACAAGGGCATTTCAAACTCCTGCTTGTGTCATATATGTTTACAACCCACTTGCCAAAGCAAGTCATATGGCTGAGCCCACAGTTGGGGGTGAGAAAGTACACTTTGTCTCTTCGGGGGAAAACCCTAAGGTTATATGATAAAGGCATAGATAGAGGGAGAGGTGATTAATTGGGACCCATAGAAGTTCTCAGCCTAAGGGAGAAGAGACAGATTCTGTCCTTAGAATGCCAACTTCCAAGGGGGAGGGTGGGACATGGGGGTGTTACACTGAAAGCATGTAACATCAATAAAAACCTCTAAGTACAAGCACGGCTATTTGGGTTGTGCCCTTTGTATAACAGAGTAACTTGTGCTTTACAGCCCCTGTAACCCTGGGGGACCAAGGTGGCTAAGGACTCAGGCTCAGAAGTCAAACAGTGCTATCTAAATGACCCTGGGCAAGTTCCTTTTCCTCTGAAGCCTCACTTCCTTCATCTGTAAAATGGAGATAATAGTGGTGCGTGCACCATGGCTTATTATGAAAATATGTGCCTGTCACAGACTGAATGCTTAATAAATAGTAATTTTTCATATCATTATTGTATATTTTATTAGTATCTAATATACTTAGCAGGAAACAGGAATCAGACATAACACAAAACAAATTTGATTGCTTCGAGCATAGAGCATACTACTAAAATACTTCAGAAATCTATCCATCTAGCCAGCTGTTCCTGGAACAACAGGAGAAGGCAGGGAGGAAGTGACATGGATGAACACCTACCATGGCCAGCCATGGTGCTACATGCCTTGTGCGTATCATCTCACTTAAATCAGTAGGAGTGACATGAGAACAGCTTTCAGCTTATCTTTTGATCAGATGCCAAGCAACATGGAAGTTGGGGACCTAGAAACATGATTCCAGGTAGGCATGATTCCAACACAGCTTCCCTATGACCACTATTTAGAAGTTTTAAAACCAACGCTCTGCTGTTAATGTGCTATGTGCCCCACTCCTGCACAGGACAGGGAGTGTGACTCATGGCATGTGTCATCCATGTCGTTACGCCAGTCCTCGGGCCACCATCCCTCTCTTGCTTTCTCCTAGAAGTCAAGGATGGCTGGGATTCCTGGCAAGTCCAGTCAGTTCCAGGGGCTGATTTAGTTGTTATTTTAAGGACTGATACTTCCTAAGGTCTCTTACCGTCAAAACTAGATTTGGTATGAAGAAAACCAGTGTCACTTTTAAGTCACTCTGGGGACATCCTCCCTTACCTGATGGAAGCTCATCAACAGGCTCTCACCTCAGTCTCCCCAGTCTTGTTCCGCTCTGGGAAATTCTCTCTGGACCAAGCCTTTGCTCCCTTGCTTCTGATGCCAGATTAGTCCCATGGGGAGGCTTTCAGCTCACAGTTATCTGGCACCAGGGGTGTGCAGCCAAAGGGGCTAGTCCGATTTGTTAAGGTCCTTCCTGAACTGGTACTCATCTCCTCCGCCCTACAGCCATCCTGAGTGAGCTCTTACAGAGGGAGAATCGCGTCCTGCACTTCTGGACCTTGAAGAAGCGGCGGTTAGACCAGTGCCAGCAATATGTGGTATTTGAGCGCAGCGCTAAGCAGGTATGTCCAGAGCTTTTCCTCATTTGCCTCAGTTCTAGGACTAAACAGAGGCCCAGAAGGCCAGGGCTTGGGACAGTCCAGAAGAGGGTCAAAGCAGCAGGCTAAGTAGAAATGAGAAGTGGAGCTGAAGAGAGGAAAGAGAACAGACTGTTACTTACCAGTCATTCAGCCTTTACCAAACATTCTATTCAGAGTTTGGAGATGCTGGGAGCCGATTGCCCCTAATTCATGGGTGATGCTGGATTTGGCCTAGAAGAGTCCCCAGGGTAATGGATAAGACACTCTTTGCCAGTGGGATGTTCCAAGTTTAACAGGGGCAGACTCATTCATAAAATCAACTTCCAAACTATATACTAATTGAATTATGCTGGCATTTTTCTGCATCTGTCCCACTGTCCTAAACCATAGACTTTCATTGTAGCACTGATTGTTTTCCTGCTGATGGCTGACTTTGGGTGGCTGGGTGGTTGTTTTCTCCTACAGGCACTGGACTGGATCCAAGAAACAGGTGAATATTACCTCTCAACACATACCTCCACTGGAGAGACGACAGAGGAGACTCAGGAACTTCTGAAAGAATACGGGGAATTCAGGGTGCCTGCCAAGGTAGGATATCACCCCAGAGCCCTCTTCCCAAAATCCTCCTGGACTACCCTATCTGACCAATTTCACATTGAAGAGAGAGCAGCCTCTGTACTCAGTAATGCTTGACCACAGTGGCAAGTGGCAAAGCACAGCTAGGATTATCTCCTTTGAAACCTGAATATCCAAAGAACTGCAGCTACTGGGTAGAGCATCTGGACAGGGGAAGTCAGCTCCTGTACACTGTGCCTCCAAATACTCATCTTCATGCTCCAGTTCTGGAATCTGTGCTCTTTCAGTCCAAATAAGGCAAAGGCACGTATTCATGTGATTTGCCTGTTCTGGATATTTTATATAAACTGGAATCATGGAATCATATAATATGTGGTCTTTTGCATCTGGCTTCTTTCACTTAACATATTGTTTTCAAGATTCGTACATGTGTGAATGTACATGTGTGAATACCTATCCACATATTCGTGAAGCTTGAATGGCTTGGGAAGTTCACCTATGGGAAGGGCTGGTGACTGGGGGTGGATCACAAAGCAGGTGAGTTTCTTATTTTCTGAGCTGACTTCTTGCATCTGGCCTCAGACCTGCAAATGAGCCAGGCTGGGGTCTGTAGGGAGCAAAAAGTGTGCTGGGGCACATACCACACACCCACATACCCCCATTCACACAGAGGCAGGGATGCTATAATCGGAGGAAATCTGATTTTCATCTGTTTTACAGCCCAGATTTGATGTGAGGACCCTTGCATTAGAATGAAAATCTGCTCTGTTTCAATGCCCTCTTTGTGGTGTCCTGTCCCTCACCCTGGGGTCCCTGCCATGGAAGAGCCCTTCTTGGCATCACTTCCTCACAAGGCAGATGCTCTTCCCAGGGTGAGAGCTGCTTTTGTGGGGGTTCAAGAAGAGGCATATTAATGCACATCCTCCCTAGAGATTTCTCTGACACTATAGCACATGTTCCTCTAGCTTGCTGTGACAGAAGTAGGCCCCTAGCCTCATTCCTGAGCTGATATTTCAGATGTGATTATCCACTTTATGAATCCTACACTGTGAAGTCTTGACAGTGGGGAGCCTTTCTCTGCATCCTTGTGAGCTTGGGGGTCCTTTATACCCACTGTGAAAAGCTGTCAATTCAGATGAGAGACTCATTTCAGTACTGGCTAGAACAAATAGCACTAGGAAGATGGCAGATGCACAGAACCCTTTTCAAATTTGAATGAAAAGGCTTTTGAATTACCCACTTCACATCTATCTGCCCCCTCCAAATATCAGATCCACTGGTGTCCCTACATACATAGCATGGATCACGGCAGATACCCAGAAAGTCTTAAGATCAGAATCTGTCCATAACCAAAGTGGAAATGAGGAGAATTATTTAGTCAATTTAATTTCTCCTTCCTTTACTTTCTTCTTTCTATCTTTCCCCTTTTTTCTATTCACATTGTCACCATCCTAATTGGGTTCCAGTTTTTGGCCTTTCCTTCCTTCCCTGCCATCCTGCTCTTCACTGCTGTTTATCTTTAAAACACTACTTTGGTCATATGACCACCCAGCTCAAGAACTTCCATGATTCTCTGGTGCTTCAGGATGACATTCAGCTTCTGCAGTCGTGCCACCTTGCCTCCCCAGCTCTGGTTTCAATGATGTTTTTATGCAGATTTTGTGCTCCAGCTGAATAGATGTATTTTCTTGCCCTCTGAGAGACACGTCATATACTTTCTTGCTTCTATACCTTTTCTATATTATTTTTCTGCCTGGAGTATCCTTCCCTTCCCTCTAGTTTATATTTAAAAAAAAAAAAACACCTTTCCACTTCAGTGCCACCCTGTCCTCTCTGATCCTGCCTACAAGCCAGGATGTGATCTGGCCCATCCCTGCAGTGCAACCATTTTTTGTATAACCTTAAGGTACCTCGCACGAACCATCCTGTTCTCCAGTAATCTGTGTGCAGCATTAACCTCCTGTATGAGCCAGCAAGATCACAAAGGACAAGAACTGCACTTTACTCACCTACCTAACTATAGCATATGTATGAGGGGAGGCTACAGATATTTGTGAACATAATGGAACAAAGAAGTCTGCGTGGACTTCAACAACCCCCTCCCCAAATTCATATTTCTGATATGGATTCCTTTACTTTTCTCTCTCTATGCTCTCTCCCTCTTCACTATTTCTGTTAATGAGGTTCCATTCCCCCATCTGTCATGTTCCAAGTCTCAGGGATATGTGTTATTAGGATACCTACAGGATAACACATCAACTGAGGAGCTTCCGATGAAAGGGAACAGACTACTGCTCCATGCCTCCCACTTTCCAGAGGCAAACCTCTTTTAACCAGCCATCTTTGGTTTTAATCTTTATAACCAATAAAGAGAATTTGAAATGGAAGCCAAACTGACTTTAAGCTACAAGAGAGTAAATATGGTGGGTCTCATGACTGAAGAGAACAAGAGCATATTGAGTATACTGAATTATTACACTTTGCTCCCTGGGAACAGATCAAGTAGACAAATGCTAAATATAAAAAGGTACTTTCTAAATAACATTCCACAAATGTACGAATAAAAATAAGATAAAGATATGGGCACGGATAAGAGGAAAACAAAATTTTCTTGTTGTGGTATACTGTAGAAAATCCAGCTAGAAGAATAAAAATTTACAATTTTTATATGATATGATATTTTCGTATTATGAAATATTTTCATATTGTGGCTTTCAAAATTTATAAGGGGTCAAGGCACATGGTGATGGGAAACGTGATAGGAAAGCTTAATAATCTTGACATCTGGAAGAACTATTTCTTCTAACAGCAAATGGTTTTTTAAGATTCTTAACAGTTTTCATTTTCTATAATTCAGTGGTTTTTAATATATTCACAAGGTTGTGCAATCATTGCCACTATCTAGTTCCAGAACATTTTCATCACCCCAAAAACAAACCCCATACCCATTAGCAGTCACTCCCCATTTCCCCTTCCTCTTAGCCCCTGACAACCACTAGTCTACTTTCTGTCTGTATGAATTTGCCTGTTCTGGATATTTTATATAAACTGGAATCATGGAATCATATAATATGTGGTCTTTTGCATCTGGCTTCTTTCACTTAACATATTGTTTTCAAGATTCGTGCATTTTGTAGCATGTATCAGTACTTTATTACTTTTTTATGGCTAAGTAATATTCCATTATACCATCTATTATTTATATATTCATCTATATATACTACATGTTGGTTATCTATTCATCATTTGTTGGGCATTTGGATTATTTCCAGTTTGGGGCTACTATGAATAATGTTGCTATGAACATTTGTGTACAAGTCTTGACAGGAACACATGTCTCCAGTTCTCTTGGGCATATACCTGGGAGGGGAATGGCTGGGTCCTATGTTGACTCCATGTTTAACTTTTTGAGGAGCTGTCAACTCCATTCCAAAGTGGCTATACCATTTTACATTCCCATCAGCAATGTATATGCATTCCAGCTTCTTCACATCCTCTCTAACCTTTATTACCATCCAGCTTTTTAATATAGCCTGTCTGTTCCCTGAGGGTGTGAAGTGGTATTTCATTAGGGTTTTGATTTCTGTCTCCCAATGGGTAATGATGTTGAGAAAACACTTAACTTTATCTCTGAAAGTGAAAAGATATATGAAATAAACTGGAGTTAGTTCTTCTTAACAAAAGAGAATTAAGTGATAAGAAAAGTGACTGGAGCCTTAGCTGAACTAATTATGTCTTAGAATTCAGATAGGAAAGGAAGCACAGGGCTTGTCAGATAGGTATGTTAGACTGAGAAAAGTAGAATCTGAACAGTTTAGGTAAAAGATGGGCATAAGTCTATTTCTGAGACTCTTAAGAGGAATATAGCTCAGGAGTGATAAACATTTTTGAAAAGGTTTAGTTGTTCATACATAACTCTCTCCTGTGGAATGAATATGAAGATACATCTCAAGAGAACTGTATGTCCACACAGGGAGCTCAAAAAGTTCATATCTACAAAGAATGTATCAATAAGTACAAGAAATATCAGCAACGAAAGGCAAATGGAAATATTATAATGAGATTAAAAGAAAAATATCAAGAAAGCTAAATCTTAAAGACTTGTGAAATGTGCTAAGTACAATAAAAGGGCTTTTTAAAAGCTATATTCAGAGTAAGGCTCACTGTTTAAGGGAAGATAGTATAATATTAACTGATGAAAGGAAGGAAGGGATGGAGGGAGAACGGGAAGAAAGAAAACAAGGAAAAGGAAAAGAAACAAAACTGGAACTACTGAACCCTCCTTTCCTACCTATCTTTCCCAGCAGATAACACAGAATTTAAGATGGAGAGGGCAAAACACACATTAGGGGACACATGAAGCCCAGGATAAGTGAAATATCAGTTCCAGATTTCCAGACCCAAATAAATTATACTGCCCAGAGTTTCCCTGTTGTCTACAAGGTCACGTCCATCCTTCTGAACCTAACATTCAAGAATCTCTACAATCTGACCTCCACTTCATCAATCTGTATAAGTTACTCACTTGTGGTGGCAATATTCGAGCCTCACATTGCTCTAAGTTTGGAAGGGGAAAAGCTATTGTGTAGCTATATGTGGAAATGAAGAAGACAGTAGCTATGTGGCTGGTCCTCCCAGGAGTCCAAGAAAAGCTGAATAACTCAGCTTTACGGGAAGAGCAAGAAATGTGACAATCTCACCTCTGGAGATTAAAACGAGGATGTCTCCCTAGACCAGGGGCAGTGCTTGCAGCCCCATTATCTGGTCATCTCATGAGAGGCAGCCAGGGATATGTTATCGCTGTTACTGTGACTCAGCTTCACTTCTTTTTGCTGTCTGTTTGCACTTCTACTCTGTAACTAACTACCCCGTTCTCTGTCTCGGCCAGTGTCACTATTAATCCAGGACAACTTCAGTGTTCACTGACTGCATACTGACAGGACTTATGGGAAAAGATTCTGCCTCTGGTCTCATTAGCTGTGACCAGACAGGTGGCAGATCGCATGGTGCCACCAGAGTCACCCATGTATACGAAACCACTTCCAACTGTGCTCGGCTGGAGCTGTGGGCATGGTTGGGGTCCATTTCATGGGTCACAGTTTTCATCTAATTCTTCCCCATATAAACCCGCAACTCCTTCTGGTCTAGCTTTACTTACCTCCAAACACAATGTTAACTCTTCCATTTATTCAGCATGTATGGTATGCCTACTGTTTTCCAGACATTGGAGATACAAATGAATAAGGTATAACAAGGTATAGCACTTAACCTTTTAGAAGTGCATGGTCTAATGAGACATAGATAACTCAACATTATACATGCTGAAGTAGAGGCAGAGATGTGGTACTCTGGGAATGCTGGAAAAGGCATCACCCACACGGCTTGTCGTGGGCAAGGAGATGAAAGAGGGCCAGTAGACTGAAAGGGATAAGTAGCAGCCACTCATCACAGCAAGAGGGCCAGGTGAGGGTCAGTGTGACTAGAGTCACACTGGCCATGGAGACAATGGAGATAGTCACAAGGGCAGGTGAGGCCACATGGGGAAGGGCTTGTCTACAGTGCTCCTTTTACTGTTTGCTCAGCTGGGTTCCATGCCTGGAATACTCTTGGTCACAAGCCACTCTCCTTGCTGACTCTGAATCACAGTTTTGATATTTCAGGATGTAATGTCCTCTGATAGGGCTGCCCTGCCAGGCTGGCTACAGCCATCTGACTATACCCCCATCTCATGCTGAAATCTGCTTGTCTAGAGCAGAGAATAAATATGTCTTTATAAGACTTTTACATAAAGATGGATTTATTGATTATAGCTGTAAAAATTAACCTCTGTTTTAAGTAAATAGCAAATGTAAGAAAAAATTATTTTCAGAACAACCACACCATCACTGCTAAATGCAGTAAGGTAGAAGGCCCCAGGGTACCAGTTATTTTTTTGAACCAATTCCCAATGCTGTTGTTTTTGCCTTTTGGGGGTTAAGGAGATGTTTCACCTGTCCTTCTACCCACATTTTGTCCTGCTTGCCAAAGCTCTTCTGGGCCTTCATCTCCTGGCTGTGGTTACCAGCCGTCTGTCCTGGGGTAGGAGAGGCTCAGAGGTGTGGGGTGAGTTGCTGAGTGACTGGAGCCTGAGTCTCCTTGGCTGAGTCTCCAAGTCCATGTCTTCTCTGCTCACTCCTCTGGTTAGAATTTCTCCCTCTCGGGCATTTCTTGAAAGGGGCAGTCTCTCATGGGAGGGGCTGTGCAAAAGCAGCCTGGAAAAGTGAGGCAGGGTGGTCTGTATAATAAAGAAAGGTTCTTCTGTCTGTTCCCATTGCTCCAGTGATTTTCTGCCTCAGTTTCTCTCAGTTATCTAGATTGTAGCATGACCCAAAACAAACCTCAAACCTAATTTTCTGCATTTGAAAGATAATTTTACTTTTCAGAATATTTTTAAAATATTATTTCCTTCCTCTTAAAATTTATCAGGATTTTGGAGTTTCAAAACCCAAACCTAAGATAAAAGACAAGGAAGTGTTTGCTAATTTGAACATCCCTTCCATTTCATATCTTCTCCAGTGTAAGTCCCACCTCCCCCTTGAGAACTTTCCTGCTCATTCCAGTCTAGTTCATTTTTCTCCCGTTTTAAATTCCTGCAGTGTTAACTATACATACTTCTCATTTTGACATACGATTACATAATGCCCTGAGTTATTTAACCACTTTGTGTGAAAATCTTCTCTTTCTAGATATATAGACTGTTTGGAAAAAATAAGTCTCTTTTTTTCTCCTTTTTGTTTTTACCCCCCAAGCCTGTCCCCATAGTCCTCTGTACAGTGGTGCAGACAGAGTAGGAGTTGGATAAACTCTTGCTGGAAATACAATTAACCCAATACACATCAGAGCTCCACCTTACTTAGCCCTGCAACGGATACTAGCTTCATTAATTCCTCCCCTCCTCTCCTCTCCCCTCTCCCCCATCCCCTTCCTTCCCCTCTCCTCTCCAGTGGAAACTAAAGACAAAATCCTGGTGGTGAAAGGTACAGCGTGTATTCTAAAATTTGCTAGTTGGATTTCTTTAGATCCTGGCATGTGCCAACTTACCATATGTTTAGAAAGCCTACTTCAGGCCAGTTCAGTGAAGGGAGAAAACTAGGAACTATGGACCAGAGGCAGTAGGCAAATGGTCTGAACTTGGACAAGCCCAAAGCCTCTCTAAACCTCAGTTTTTTTCATCTGTGATACAAAGACACCCACACCACCTACCTCCACTTACCTCCTTTAAGGTATTCAATGCTTTACGATTCAAATGATCTCAGATGTGATATTTACATACTCTGATAAAGTCTTATATTAATGTATAAGGTCCCTACATCAATAATCCCAATGATAACACTTACGCTTACTGAGCTCTTACTGTGAGCACTGTGTTGCAGGCACTGTTCTAAGCCTTCTACACCATCAACTTAGGTAGTGCTCACAGCAACACTGCATTGTAGGTACTGCTGGAGTTTCTGTTTTGCAGATGAAGGAACTAAGGTACAGAGGGTTTAAGTAATTTGTTTAAGACCTCCCAGCTAGTAAGTGACAGAGTCGGGATATAAACCCAGTTAGGCCATGAGGTATCCACAGCTGCTGTGAAGAAGAAAAGAGGGATGGGGGTGTAGGGCCAGGAGAGTAAATGTAATCTAATAACTTAAGACCATCTTTTGGGGCAGCAAACAAAGGAGAAGGTGAAGCTTCTGATTCAGCTGGCTGATAGCTTTGTGGAAAAGGGCCACATCCATGCCACAGAGATCAGGAAATGGGTGACCACGGTGGACAAACATTACAGAGATTTCTCCTTGAGGATGGGAAAGTACCGTTACTCCCTGGAGAAAGCCCTAGGAGTCAACACAGAGGTAGGTATAGGATTGCCCAGTGAGGACATCGTCCTTTCCCATCTCCCTCAGGACTGCTGCCCTCTTCACCCTGGAAGGAAGCAGGGTTTCCGGGGCAGTCTTTCTGAAATGTTGACATCAAGAGCACTTGCCTTGTGTGGACTTTTTATTGGAGGGCATAGATCTTGCTGAGCCATTGGCCTCCAGCTCCCTATGATTTGGTGCTATATATATTACAAAGTTGCCTGACCAGGTGGAACCTATGGCTAACAGAACAGAGCTTTTCTATGTGTAGAGTTAACTGTTGACTTTCGGAACTAAACCCTTTATCTTGGCTTCATCAGAACCTCTTCCACCCAATTATGTTAATGAGCAAATGATTAGTCTCCAGAATGTATAATAGTGCTCTTTCAGGAATAAGGGATGCAATTTGTATAAAGGCTGTTTGATGTTTCAACTGAAAAGAGGTACTATTTGCCAAGAAGCAAGGGAAAACTGACTTTTAATCTCTTCTTTGTAATAGGGGTCAGTAACCTATGAATTAAGAGCTAAATACAGACTGGCAATTTAATCCTAGGATTTCTAATTCTTAAATCTTTAAATAGGCTCATGCTCTGAAGCAGAGCAGACTAAAGAGTTGTCAAAGCACTAAAATTGAGGGAATTAACATCTCCCCCAGGCTTTAACCTGCGAGGGTTTTTTCTAGAGTTTCCCCTCTTATATAAATACCAAAACTGTGATTGAAATAAGCAGAAATGGACAAATAGAAAGTTCAGTAATTTTCCTATCATTTAACTTTCTATTTCCAAGGGAAATTACTTGTTTAAATAAAAATATTTGCTTTTATTATTTTCCCTTAATAAATTTTTTATGTCTTTATGTGTTTCTGTTTTACATCTCTTTTAATGGTTAATAATCAATCTTGGACTAATTTATGTGTGTATATGTGTTTAGATTTAAGGAGGACCAAAGTCTTTGGGGAAATATAACATTAATTATCAAATGTGTTCATTGTTTTTCCTTGTTGTGGATATTAGCCCTGAACAACATTTTATACCCTTCTTATTTGAAAAACAAAAATCATCCCATGAAGAAGAATGCTTCTGGGTGGCAGTTTGTGGAATTCCCCATCTCTTCATCCTTATCCATTATATCTTTCTCAATCCTTCCCCTTTTCTGTCTCCCCCAACTCTGGTAAGCTGCTTTCCCAGAGCATCTCCAAAGTGACCTCTGTGATCTCTCTGTGTATAGGATAACAAGGACCTGGAGCTGGACATCATCCCAGCAAGCCTTTCAGACCGTGAGGTCAAGCTACGGGACGCCAACCACGAAGTCAATGAAGAGAAGCGGAAGTCAGCCCGCAAAAAAGAGTATGTTTGGGGGAGCTTCCACCCAACCAGCAGGTTCCTCATGACTGTGCTTGATTTTCATTGCTACCTGTCCCTTTTGATAGCTTAATGTATCCTCATGACCACCTACAGAGGTTGGAATGGACAGACATGATGCTTCCACTCACATTTCACACTAATCAAGAATTATAGGGTATTGGCTAGTGGAAGCAATGACCCATATCAACCTTAAAATCTGTATCTTTATCATTCTGCTTTATTTATATTAGTATTGCAAAGTTACACAGACCCAGAGATCTTGCAAGAGCTTTATGAAGAATGTTTTCACAGATTCCTTTTGGGTAATTCTGGGAAAAAAATTAGTGTGCCCTAAGATGAAGAATCCGTATGTAGTTGACTTTATCAAAATGTAGTAGGATCACCCTGAATGGCCAAAGCAATCCTGAGAAGGAAGAATAAACTTGGGGCGATTATGGTCTCTGACTTCAAGCTCTATTACAAACCCATAGTAATCAAGACAATTTGATTCTGGCACAAGAACAGATCCATAGATCAATGGAGCAGAATAAAGAGCCCAGATATAAACCTAAGCATATATGGTCAGTTAATATATGATAAAGGAGCCATGGATATACAATGGAGAAAAGACAGCCTCTTCAACAACTGGTGTTGGCAAAACTGGACAGTACATGTAAGAGAATGAAAGTGGATTACTGTCTAACCCCATACACAAAAGTAAACTTGAAATGGATCAAAGGCCTGAATGTAAGTCATGAAACGATAAAACTCTTAGAAGAAAACATAGGCAAAAATCTCTTGAATATAAACACGAGCAACTTTTTTTTGGAATGTGCCTCCTCAGGCAAGGGAAACAAAAGCAAAAATGAACAAATGGGACTACATCACACTAAAAAGCTTCTGTACAGCAAAGGACACCATCAGTAGAACAAAAGGCATCCTACAGTATGGGAGAATATATTTGTAAATGACAAATCCAAGAAGGGGTTAGCATCCAAAATATATAGAGAACTCACATGCCTCAACACCCAAAAAGCAAATAACCCGATCAAAAAATGGGCAGAGGATATGAGCAGACACTTCTCCGAAGAAGAAATTCAGATGGCCAACAGGCATATGAATAGATGCTCCACATCACTAATTATCAGGGAAATGCAAATTAAAACCACCATGAGATATCACCTCACACCAGTTAGGATGGCCAACACCAAAAAGACTAAGAACAACAAATGCTGGCGAGGATGCAGAGAAAGGGGAACCCTGCTGGTTCAAATGTAAATTAGTTCAGCCATTGTGGAAAACAATATGGAGGTTCCTCAAAAATCTAAAAATAGAAATGCCATTTGACCCAGGAATTCCACTCCTAGGAATTTACCCTAAGAAAGCAAGATCTCAGATTCAAAAAGACATATGCACCCCTATTTTTATTGCTGCACTATTTACAATAGCCAAGAAATGGAAGCAACCTAAGTGTCCATCAGTAGATGAAAGGATAAAGAAGAGGTGGTACATATACACAATGGAATACTATTCAGCCATAAGAAGAAAACAAATCCTACCATTTGCAACAACATGGATGGAGCTAGAGGGTATTATGCTCAGTGAAATAAGTCAGGTGGAGAAAGACAAGTACCAAATGATTTCCCTCATTTGTGGAGTATAATAACAAAGCAAAACTGAAGGAGCAAAATAGCAGAAGACTCACAGACTCCAAGAAGGGACTAGTGGTTACCAAAGGGAAGGGCAGGTGGGGAGGGAGGGAGATGGGGATTAAGGGGTATTATGATTAGTGCTCATGGTGTGTGTGTGGGTCACAGGGAAGACAGTGTAGCACAGAGAAGACTAGTGACTCTGTGGCATCTTACTACACTGATGGACAGTGACTTCAATGGGGTGTGTGGGGGGGGACTTGATAATATGGGTGAATGTAGTAACCACAATGTTTTTCATGTGAAACCTTCATAAGTGTGTATATCCATGATACATTAATTAAAAAAAACACCCCAGATTCCAGCTGTCAGTGTGCTGCACACCAACTGGAGAAGACAGACAATACACAAAATAAATCACTAAACCATTTGGTTTATTAGAAGGGAAAAAAGTGTAGTAGGATCACAGATCCCTTAGAGCTGAAGGAACGGAAGCTGGTCTGCCAAATCAGAGCTTATGTTTCATCTGAAGAATTTATTAGTTTGTTTGGGCTGCTATAACAATGTATGAAAAATTGGGTGGTTTAAACACCAGAAATGTATTGTCACACATTTCTGGAGACTAGATGTCTGAAATCAAGGTGTTAGCAGCATTGATTCCTTCTGAGGGCTGGGAGGGAAGTGTCTATTCTAGGCCTCTCTCTGTGTCTAATAGATGGCCATCATCACATTCATATAGCATCCTCCCTGTATATGTGCCTAAATCCAAATTTCCCCCATTGGGAGGACATCAATCATTTTGGAATAGGGGCCCAGCATCCTCTAGTATAACCCCATCTTAACTAATTGCATCTGCAATGACTCTACTTCTAATTAAGGTCAGTCTGAAGAAATGGAGACTGGGACTTTGACATATGAATATTGGTGGGGCAGGGCTGGGGTGGGGGACAACAGAATGACTTATGTCCCATAACAGAGAGGGAAATGAGAAGATCATACTTGGCCAAATCTTCCTTCTGCATTTTCTCTGGGACACCAGATAGCTAGAGGTTAGTAAAGGATGGGTAGAAAATAAAACAAAATAGGGTATAAGATGGTGGAGCTAAATTAAGAAGAAAGACAGGCAAAAGTGCAGAAGCAGATGGAGAAAAAGGAAGAAGGTAGAATTCCAGAAACCCAAGGCAATAAAATCAAAGACAGCTTTTCAAAGCATGTCAGATCATGTTCCCCCTGATCTTCCTTTTTTCCTTGTTTACCAGTACCTATAATGTTTGCTTACATGATCTTGTTTAATCCTTGTAGCAAGCCTGTATGATCAGCTGTTTTATAAGTCTGGTAAAGGACAAAGTCCTGATTGAATTCCTGTTTGTCTGACTTCAAAGTTGATGTACGTTCCTCTCTACCAATAGAGTGAGAGTGACTATTTAACTAATTAACTAATTAAAAAAGAGAATTTTTTAAATCAATACTTTACTTCTAATAAAAAGTCCACTGTTGGAACAATGTATTGCTTTAAGGAAAATCCATCAAGATAAAGGTCCAGGTAAAGATGCTTCTCATTTTAATATTTCTTGTATAATTTCTAACCAAGGACAATCTTTTTGTCCTTTTTGGGACAATCTTTCTCAAAATTTTAGTGTGATGGAACACCTGGAAATAGGGGTTCTCATTATGAGCTACCATGAAAAACTGACATAGGAAACCGAAGATAAATGTATAAATATATACTTTGTGCTAAATTAGATATTATTGCATATCATATGCTAGCTAGAAAGCACCATTTCTAATAAAAATCTGTGAAAGAGACAAAATGAAGTAGGTATACTACAGTGAAGCCATGCACCCTTATTTAATAACTGCCTGAGTACATTGTGTTATCTAGGGATCCATAGAGAAAAGGAGTCGTGTCTTTGCAAATGTTTAGCACAAGCTTCTCTTTATAAAAGATCACAAAGCAGTCACTTAACATTGTTAACGTGCTGTGTTTGTGATTGCATATTCTGCTTCATGCACTTCAGTTTGTGATGTAAATGAACACCATTAGAGATAGTGGTCAAGTGTACAGGATAATCTAGGCCAGAGGTCAGCAAACTATGGCCCACAGACAAAATCTGACTCATTACCTGTTTTATATAGTCTGTAAGCTAAACATTATTCATTTTTTATATTTTGTAATGGCTGAAAAGTGTCAAAAGAAGAATAATATTTAGTGATTTGAAAATCAGATTAAATTTTTCTGTGTCCATAAATAAAGATGCATTGGAACACAACCACCCTTTTTTTTTTTTACATATTGTGTATGGCTCCATTCATAACTACAACAGTACAGTTCAGTGATTATGACAGAGTTGGAATGGCCCACAAAGATTTACTGTAAGCCTCTTTACAGAAAAAATGTTTGCTAACCAGTCTCAGTACTGGTGTCTTGGGCATTTGTTCCTGGATTTTAAACCTAATTTGACTTATATAACTGTGAACTCTTTTGCTGTAAGTCAACAAATCTACCAAACAGAAATTGCCATTCTAGGAGCTATAAGAGAAATGTAGGAAGCTGAGATTCAAGGTCTCTAGTTGATGAGAGTGAATGTGAATGCAACTGCATGCTTGTGTGCACATGCATATACACTTGTGCAACTGAGAACAAAAACGCATCAGCACAGAACCATGATGTGGTAGAACTGCAGCTGAAAAGAGAGAGAGAATATAGAACCAGCTGAGCACAAACATGCTGAAGGGATTCAGAGCAAATGATCAGAGTGAGATGGATTCAGAGGATAACACTTAGAGGCAAGGAGTTTTGAAGAAAGGAAGAGACTTACTTTGGTTAAGTAGAAAAATGGGACATTCAAGAATGTCATAAAGGCTGGGGTGGGGAAATGAAGTTTGAAGGAATGCAGTGAATTATATCTTAAACCAACTAAAAGTGCATTTGTTTCCTTCTAGATTCATCATGGCTGAACTGCTCCAGACAGAGAAGGCTTATGTAAGGGACTTACATGAGTGCTTAGAGGTAAGTCTTGAAGTAATCAGTTCACAGCTGTACTAGAGAAATGACATCCTTGCTAGAGTCAAATCCTTGAAAGGGACTCTTTGTCTTCTCCCAGAGCTTAAAGAATAAAAACCTAACTAGAGGAAATCTGTCTCCCAGAGTCAATAGTAATTGCATGGGATTTTAAAGTACTTTTGAAAAGAAACTTCTCTCAGACTGGAGCTAGAACCAGCCAAAAAAGTATTTTGAATTCAAAAATAAAATCCATGACACTGTCAGTGACATAAGTTGAATCTGAAAATCTTCAACTTGTCCCCAACAAACACTCAAGTACACACACATTCAATAAATAAGATGAGTATGGCAGATGTGAGTTTCCCTAGCAAGAGTTCAAAATAATGGAATATTCAGGCTTGCTTTCTTCCTGTTCTGCTTATTTACTATCTCACTTTTTACACTGTACATGTATTCCCAGTCTGACCGTACAAGTTTGAAGTCCTGTTTATTTTGTCCATCATGTGGCAGTACTTCCAGTGATGAAACCATTGCTGTCTTACAGACCTACCTGTGGGAAATGACCAGTGGTGTGGAGGAGATCCCCCCTGGGATCCTTAATAAAGAACATATCATCTTTGGCAACATCCAGGAGATCTACGATTTTCATAACAAGTAGGTTGGTGGTAGGTTTCGGTGGACCACATGTGGGGCCATAAATACCCAATAACAGGGTTTCCCAACAAGTAAGATCAAAGCTAATTGGTATATCTTGCCTGGGAAAGTATGACCTATTAAGTTTTCTAAGTCAGCTACTGTCAGACTTCTCTCACTTACCTCTATTTCTCCACAATTGTCCAAAATTCCTAGTGGAGAGTGAAGCCAATTATTCAGCAGTGTCCTTCCCCAGATCCCCTTAGGGACCTCTCTTGCATCTTCATACCCAATCAGAATGATAACCAGGCTTTGAAGAAATAAAAGTAGCCTCTTCTCATTAACACTGTGGGGAATCCTGACATTAGAATTCATCTAAGGCTAACTGTTCTACCTTGGGGGCCTTAGGCTTCAATTTCCATTAAAGTTTTCTTTCAACCTATTTATTTCCTCCATCCCCAACTACCCCATCATACCCACCCTCAACCAAAAGACTATATATACACAAATAGATAATCAAAATAACTAATAGAACATATTTCTTGACAGCTTATAAGGGAGAATATCAACTGACTCTGTGTTTGGTTGAAACACATAGAAACAGAGAATCCTAAAACATTGCCATTCATTTTGTCCAGCTGGCAACTTGATCTAAGTATCTTTTCTATAGTACACTGAACAGCATGTTGCATTGTTAACAGAGGGTTGGCAAGAACATTGGTTGATTACTTACATCACCAACTAATGAAAATAACTCAGTTTCCAAAATACAAATAGAGGGATTATCAAGCACAAGGAATAATGTTAGTATAAAGTCCTAGAGCTCTCTCAGGACTCTGTTGCAGAGAAGGACTAAGAGGTAAAGGTTTAATGTGGGATACAATTCAGAGGAAACCCAAGGCTCTTACTGAGGTAAGTAGTCATGCTAGCGATAAAACTGCCAGCTCCAAGGGCTCCTAAAGAGGCCATGTGCACAGGTGTGACAGCCAGCCTAGGGCAAAACCCCAGAACAGTGCTGCTCGAAAGAGCTTCTGCAATGATGGAAATGTTCTGTGTCTGTGCTGTCTGATGCAGTAGCCACTAGACATGTGTGGCTAGTGAGCATTTGAAATGTGACTAGTGTTACTGAGAATTGAATTTTTAACTTTATTTAACTTATAAAATTCAGATGGCAAGTGGCTACCACAGTGGACAACCCAGCCCTAGAAAATGAGACCTCAGTATGTCCCTTTGCTAAGAATGAGTGAGAGATGAGTAAGAGTGGGTGTAACAGGATCCTGAGTTCTAGAAAGTCTAAATAAGAGGTGGAGAGTAACTCCTCTCTTGTCAACTCCTGATGAATCCCCTCTTATGTCATCAAATGGCATCAATTTAAAGAGAGCATAAAATATGTAGCTCTCATGATGTGTTAACCTTGTCAGCTTATGAAAGTAAGCTCTAGGTAGAAAAACTTTCTGACTTTATGGAGTATTTAGTAGAAGTTCCCAGTCTTTTTTTTTTTTTATGACAAATTTTAATATGCTCCGTTTGATTTGTCTGGAAATCTCCAGAGAGAAATATTCTCTCCTCATGCCTGTTTAATCAGATCCCAGTAAAGCCATTTTTGATCACTGATCCCAAATCCATCATCTGAACCCAGCTCAACATTATCCTATCTCCCTCAGGATATCTGAGAAGACATCGGATTGGTGGGCTGTAAGTCATTATACTTTGCTTTTCTAATTGATGATCTCTAGGATTTTATCAACAAGTCTTATTTTCCCTGTATTCTTACCAAATTAACTAAGTATAAAAATCTAGAGATCACAAAGTGTACTTCCCATGATCCCTGCTTTTGCCAAATCAGTGTACAAGGGGAAAGAACATTAATTTCAGAATTGACTAGTTGTAACAAAATATCTAGCATAACCATGCCTCTTAACCTGGTTTTATGAAATCACTCTAGTAAACCATGCTAAGCATTTAGGTAGTTTTTTAAATAGCTGAAAATCTATCTACCAGTTACAAAATATAGTTCTAAGAAACCCTTTAAAAAAAAAGGTCAGGGTAGACCCTATAGAATGCTGCATTCTATAGAGGAATAAATTCAGTTATAAGGAACACAGCTATCCAGCAAATGCTACCTTTTTATAACAGTGTAGAGAAACAAGAAGGAAATAAAAACCAGCCTCTAAGCAACCAAAAGAGAGATCACAAAGATAAAGTTCTTATCTTTTCACAGAAGCACCTTTCTGTCTTCCCTAATGACTACTTAACCTCTTGGTTAGATTGTTTCCAAGTCCATAACAATTTAGAAGCACTAAGTAAGAATCAAGAACTTGAGCAAGTAGTCTGAAACCAGTGGCATCAAGTAAAACCTGATAGGAAAGAAGACAGATAAAAATAAAAAAGGCAAAGGAGCCCCCAAAATGATAGGTGTCAAGGGCTACTCAGTATTGGTGCAAAGATCCTATACTGACAAATAGAACCAAACACAGCCACTGTATTACAGTAGAACATAATAATATTACTAATAACCCTGAATCATTGATATATTCTGCATTAAAAGCCTTGCAATACTTTTAGAAAGCTATCTGCCAAAAAAGTAAGTAAATTATGTTTTACTATCCACAATTTAAGGGAATATAACATCCAAGAAAATCAAGCTATATATTAACTCCCTACAAGATCTGTTGGACTAAGGCTTTACTCTACTTCTAATGTATGCTTTCTACTTAATGCCATACAAAACTGATTGATGGAGAAAGCATAACACCTCTTAAATCTCTAATAAATAAGAGAGAAAATGGCACATAAGCCAACTTTGAAAGTGCAGGCACTGTGAACTCCATAAGAGAACATGTCTTTCACTGCATAACCATGTGCCTGACACACAGTAAACTTTAAATATTTGTTGGATAGACAGATTAACTAAAATAGTTGTAATTTACAGACTTACAGCCAATGCTGTTCAAGTCATAATTAAGTCTTTTATTTGTGAAAGTCTCAAGACAGGGAAAGCCATGATTTTTTTTCCCCATCACCACCAGAACCTTCTAGACCAGCAAAATAATTGAATTTCTGAATGAAGGAGTTTCCAGAGAGCTTCTTATAAGAAAGACAGGCAAAAGTGCAGAAGCAGATGGAGAAAAAGGAAGAAGGTAGAATTCCAGAAACCCAAGGCAATAAAATCAAAGACAGCTTTTCAAAGCATGTCAGATCATGTTCCCCCTGATGTTCCTTTTTTCCTTGTTTACCAGTACCTATAATGTTTGCTTACATGATCTTGTTTAATCCTTGTAGCAAGCCTGTATGATCAGCTGTTTTATAAGTCTGGTAAAGGACAAAGTCCTGATTGAATTCCTGTTTGTCTGACTTCAAAGTTGATGTACGTTCCTCTCTACCAATAGAGTGAGAGTGACTATTTAACTAATTAACTAATTAAAAAAGAGAATTTTTTAAATCAATACTTTACTTCTAATAAAAAGTCCACTGTTGGAACAATGTATTGCTTTAAGGAAAATCCATCAAGATAAAGGTCCAGGTAAAGATGCTTCTCATTTTAATATTTCTTGTATAATTTCTAACCAAGGACAATCTTTTTGTCCTTTTTGGGACAATCTTTCTCAAAATTTTAGTGTGATGGAACACCTGGAAATAGGGGTTCTCATTATGAGCTACCATGAAAAACTGACATAGGAAACCGAAGATAAATGTATAAATATATACTTTGTGCTAAATTAGATATTATTGCATATCATATGCTAGCTAGAAAGCACCATTTCTAATAAAAATCTGTGAAAGAGACAAAATGAAGTAGGTATACTACAGTGAAGCCATGCACCCTTATTTAATAACTGCCTGAGTACATTGTGTTATCTAGGGATCCATAGAGAAAAGGAGTCGTGTCTTTGCAAATGTTTAGCACAAGCTTCTCTTTATAAAAGATCACAAAGCAGTCACTTAACATTGTTAACGTGCTGTGTTTGTGATTGCATATTCTGCTTCATGCACTTCAGTTTGTGATGTAAATGAACACCATTAGAGATAGTGGTCAAGTGTACAGGATAATCTAGGCCAGAGGTCAGCAAACTATGGCCCACAGACAAAATCTGACTCATTACCTGTTTTATATAGTCTGTAAGCTAAACATTATTCATTTTTTATATTTTGTAATGGCTGAAAAGTGTCAAAAGAAGAATAATATTTAGTGATTTGAAAATCAGATTAAATTTTTCTGTGTCCATAAATAAAGATGCATTGGAACACAACCACCCTTTTTTTTTTTTACATATTGTGTATGGCTCCATTCATAACTACAACAGTACAGTTCAGTGATTATGACAGAGTTGGAATGGCCCACAAAGATTTACTGTAAGCCTCTTTACAGAAAAAATGTTTGCTAACCAGTCTCAGTACTGGTGTCTTGGGCATTTGTTCCTGGATTTTAAACCTAATTTGACTTATATAACTGTGAACTCTTTTGCTGTAAGTCAACAAATCTACCAAACAGAAATTGCCATTCTAGGAGCTATAAGAGAAATGTAGGAAGCTGAGATTCAAGGTCTCTAGTTGATGAGAGTGAATGTGAATGCAACTGCATGCTTGTGTGCACATGCATATACACTTGTGCAACTGAGAACAAAAACGCATCAGCACAGAACCATGATGTGGTAGAACTGCAGCTGAAAAGAGAGAGAGAATATAGAACCAGCTGAGCACAAACATGCTGAAGGGATTCAGAGCAAATGATCAGAGTGAGATGGATTCAGAGGATAACACTTAGAGGCAAGGAGTTTTGAAGAAAGGAAGAGACTTACTTTGGTTAAGTAGAAAAATGGGACATTCAAGAATGTCATAAAGGCTGGGGTGGGGAAATGAAGTTTGAAGGAATGCAGTGAATTATATCTTAAACCAACTAAAAGTGCATTTGTTTCCTTCTAGATTCATCATGGCTGAACTGCTCCAGACAGAGAAGGCTTATGTAAGGGACTTACATGAGTGCTTAGAGGTAAGTCTTGAAGTAATCAGTTCACAGCTGT